CTGGAGAGACAGGCAGGTAGATACAAAGAACCACAACTTACTAGAGCAGAAACCTCTGCAAGAGCCAGTGCCGGGATAAGAGAACCTGAACCGTAACTGATGAATTGCTGGAGGCTCAGCATGGATGAGCCTAAGAAATAAAGACTCCGTGGGACCCTGTCATGGGGCTGGAGGGTGTACACACTTAGGAGTTTTACCTCCAGGAGCTCTACCGTGTCCTCACTGTGAATATCGGAGAAAAATCCCCTGGGCTTCTGACACAAGGGAGGGAAAAAGGAACCATTTTGAAATAAGCCTTCTTAACAAGGCCTATCCTCAGGAGCAGCTACTGGACCAGAGCCTAAACTGCCTGGGAGAAGGGGAGTAACGAACTCCAGCTCCCTCCAGCCATCCCGTCCCGTCTACGGATAGAGAAAGAGGGGAAGAATGTGACAGTGCAAACAGCCAGGCAAGTGAGTGATAGCATCGTACATCTGAAGAACAGCAAAGCCACTGTGGATGGACAGAGTGATGCATGGGGAACTCAAGAACTAGGGAAAGCCAGAGCAATGCCGACAGACGATTTTTAAAATGATGACGAGTTCAACTAACCTGCGGCTACCTGTTGTTTTCAGGTAATCCTGGCATCCCAGCAGCCCAGGAAGGAAACAAGCAGACACTGAAAGAGCAAGCACCCAACAATGAGAAGAATCAGCAAGCAACTATGAAATCAAAAATACTAATTTCAGTTTCAAATGCCTGTTTCAAATATCAAAGAATACTTTGGAAGTACTGTCAAATGTCAGAAACTTACTACATGAGGGAGAAGAAATGTCATTGTTTTTAATGGATCAGAGTTGACACGTGTAGGCCCCTGAATTTCCAAATGGGTATTTGCTATTTTATTAAAAGGCCTCAACATTAAAACATTTTTTATAAAATAAATAACTGTGGCCACCCTGTTCTTAGTCAATATTAGTATGAAATTTGTAACCTATGCAGTGATGACTGAATGAACCAATGTAATTTAATCAATTTTTCATATGAATTAGCTTAATACAGTAATGTAGGAATGCTAAATTTCTAGCTTCATTAAATAGTCATAGGATTGTGTCAGAAGTTTAAAAGATAAAAATCTGGAATAAATCTTTTATTTTATAAGAAAATATATACCTGAAAGACTCAAATTAATTCAGAACATGACATGGGTGCCAGTATGATATGGAAGGCACAACATACAGTGCTACAATGAAAATACAATAAGATTTCAGAGCATAAAGCTCTGAAGGTAAGTTTCAGTTAGCCACTTACTACCCAGGCAATCTTGAAAAAGTCACATAATGCTTCTGAGACCCAGTTTCCTTATTTTTAAAATTGAGATAATAATATTTACTGTGTATGATCACTGTGTTAAATGAGATGGTACATGTTCACATAACTAGCAATGGATAGCAATGAATGAATAATCCATACATGAGAAACCACTTCAAATAAACAACTATTAGCATCCCTACAAATGCAAAGGGCATTTATGAATCAATAATAAAGAATGAGTGTTACCTGCTGCTCAAGTATTATGATGGGGACAGATTCTAGGAATCATGTCTGAATGACAGGGCTTATTTATGCAGGTTTTAGGACCATTTGGAATATAAGACCTTAAATAGCACGGCATCAGATATGCACAGATTTGCTACCATCTTACTGAAAATCCAATGGGAGAAAATCCATTGAGATTGAGAGAATTAGGTGTGTTTATGTATATCTACAGCATTATGCTGTCTGAGACATTCATTAAGGTCTCATGGGCTTCATTTATTCTTTTCATTATTTGTATATAGGCATTACACCTGCAACGATCTAATTAGTTTTGAAACTCGATTTGGGCCAATGTAATTAATGTGGGCTACGCTTTGACCACCTGTGGTATGTCTGAGAAGCCGCCATAACAGGGATCCTGGAACTCTTTTCTTGAGCACCATCCTGTGGTTCATACTCACTTGCATCTTGGGGAGCTGCAGGAAGAGCTGTGATGCTATTCTCTGTGTGAAAGTGACCCGTGATTTAATTCATTGTGTTGAAAATCCAACAGGAGAAAATCCAATGAGATTGGGGAAAGTAGTTGTGTTGATGCATGCCGGAGACCAAAGAGCCTCCACCCACAAAATGGCGAACTCCCTGCTTCTCTTTCGGGTTCTCTGCTCCCGCCGGCGCCAACCAAAACCCAATCACCCCTTTACACCTTCCCGCCAGCGTCACCTAAGGTCCAATTGCCTTTTGACCCACCCCTTCCTTGCTGACCTGTATAAATTAAGCCTACAAACAATAAACTGTGCCAGCTTGATCAGACATCCTGTCTTGCTGGTCGTTCTTTGTGTCCCTTGCTTGTTTCATTTCTGCAGGCGTCTCCGGCACACTCCACGTTCGTCCCGCGGGCCGGGACAGATGCATACCTACAGAACTTCCCATTTATCATACAGACCGCCTGCCCCCAATCCTGGACTCTTTGAAGAGACAGAGATGCAGTTATTGAAGCTACTTCTTCCTTTCCCTGCCTCATATTTATCTCTATCCCAACCCTGCCTTTCTTGATAAGCCAAGAATCTCTTCCTTGTTCCTGATTTCCATGAGATTTTGCATAAGTAACGTTACTATTTGTATTATTCTAAAATTGCTTTTGTTACTCATGAATATTTTTTGGTAATTCTATGTGGGTGTGTATTAATATCCTTCATCATTTGTAATGATTCATAGTATTCCAAAGTATTTAATTAGTATTTATTTAACTATATCTTTACTAGTGCTTCATTTTGCTTATATACCAGTAGTTCTTTTGTAGATACTCTAAGAAGCAGAATTACTGAGCTGAAAGATTTGCACAATTTCAATTCTGATAAAATACTGCCAGATTGCATCTTTTCATTCTTTGCACATCTTTCTTCAGTTAAGTTTTATCTGTGTTATTCTTGTCTAGCTGGGTTGAGAATATGTCCTCCCACATGAGTCTTATTCTTTATTTCTGCCAACTGTCCTCTGTAAAACTGGCTCAGAATAAATTCTGATGCTAATTTCTCAATTTGGTTTATAAATGAAGAAGACAGCATAATCTGAACGACAAATCCATATTTGATGCAAACTTTGGTCTAAAACTTCCAAGAGAGTTTTTTTCTCCTCCAAAACATTTCACAGTCTCATGGATAAAAAACTGATTTCATACTACCATGCCAAGCAACACTTCAATATATCCCTTTCTGCAAGTAACTGCAATGTCTAGTTGTAATCCTTAGACCTCTGGGAGGTCTAGGTAGCTGGCCTTATAGAAACTTAGTATTCCAGAACCTGGTACACTCTCCCTACAAGCAAAAGATTTTAGCAGCAAGGGGATCACAGTTTATACTCTCATGAGATCAGAGCACCAAACCTTTAATGACCAGTTTCATGTCGTGAATGAGTGCATTGATCAAATGCTGACAATTGTGTTGTAATATGTGTTTAGTATATTGATACAAGAGCTTAAATAAAATGTCTTGTCCTGAACTGAAGGAATTAACAGGATACCATCACATTTCTGTGTGGCAGCTGATAAAAATAGTCCCCTTTTACATGCCAAGGGAAAATTCATCATTTTCCATCCCAGGGTCAAATTCTTAATTCTGTGATACTAGGAAGTGACAGTAGGCCGAAAGCTCAAAAGGCTCTGTGCTTTAAGTGAGTCCCTATGCCCAGTTTAAACTTACCAACTCTGGCACATCCCAGACCCACAGTAAGTCTGCCTGCAATTTTTACATTAGTAGCATGCAGTACATAGACAGAATATAGTGAATTTGGAGTCAGGAGAGCCATATTCTTAGTCAAACTGCTCTGGAAAGTAATGATAAAAATAACAATACCTTCAAAATCACTTGTCAAAAAAAATTAAGATCTTAATTATAGTTTAGACTTTAATTGATTATATTTTAGGGTTGATATCAATCCCCATACCAATAGCCAAAATTTTTCAGCTTCAGGATGAAAGTGTTTTTAGATAAAGCCTCAGTTGGGTGCTTCCTTTCTACTGTAAAGCTGCAGTCTTGACTATTTCCTAAAATCACAATTCTCCCAGGTTTTAGGTTTTAAAATGTCTTTGTTTTGCATTTATAGTATTTGTATGTGATTTGTTTTTATTTATTTTTTTATGAAAGCAAAAGTTGCCACAAGGAAGTTAGAGCCTTCTGGTTTGACATTTGCTGTTTTGGGCAAGTAATTTGTAAAAGTTGACAGAAAAAAATCTCATATTCCTATGTGGTCATAGATGGCATTGGTCAATCCAAAATTGCATACTGACTGTTTGCCAAGAACTCAGCTAAGGGAGAGGAAGACTTGCAGATAATCAGAGCCATCTCATTGTGCCACATTATCTACCAGGTACAGAAATGAGGAACATTAATATTTACCCTCTATAAAAACAAAAAATGGGGAGAAAATGCAAATTCACTCATGCTCCAATGGACAGTATCATAAGTGACTGTCTAGTAGCTTGACTTCCTGAATGTGATACCAAATTATCACTCCTCTCCTCTCCCTCTCTGACACCTGGCTATAGCCATCCATTTGCATTTGGAAAATAAGAGAAAGAAAAATGTGTTAGCATTCTGATGGGTTGTTTGCAAGCATGTAGGAAAGTATCACCTTGCGAATGGCGATACCTTTGGTATTCAATCCTTTTGTAGAAAGTGGTAACCTGTACTAACAAAGCAGTAATATTTATAAATGAAACACCAGTCACTTGGCTCGTCAGATAGACTCTGGGGGAAGCAATGCATTGATGTGGGTGTAATGGGACATGTAATATTGCTTGGTCAAGACTAGGCTTCTGTGATTGACTCCCTACATCTTGCAAAGATCTTTGCAAGAAACCACATTCAGAAACATCATATGCATGTGGTTGAATGCCTCAAGTCTTGGTTAATGAATAACTTTCTTTTAAATTGGCTTATTGCTCATCTTACAAGACTTTGCATTTTGGTTTTCTTTAGTCTCTACAATTTCAGGGAAGAACACTTGAGTGTAGTCTCAAAATGCCTTTGAGCAAGAATAAACTGATTTTACTACTTGGAATGATCTGCATGGTACAAGGTAAATCTGCAACTCTTTCTCTCCCCAAAGGTAAGTGCCAAGTGAACTCTATAACTACCTTTGTCTGAGGATAACCTTTGCTGGCAATGGGTATCACAATTCTACTTCATATTCCTTTGGGAGAATAGGAGAAACAAATATATTTTGGAGATCATATTGCTTTCCATGTATTTATTTTGGCCTTCTCTCCTGTAATCTGCATATGAAACTGGATACAATATTGATGGAATACAACTTGGAGAAATTGCATTGATCTGGAGAAAACTGGGGTTGTTCCCTTATTTGGACACATTATACAATCCATCCCCTTTCAAGGAGCAAATCATGGAGCAGGTCTAGAAATCAACATAAATTTGGAAGCATTTGTAGTCTTTTGGAAAATTATCTTACTGGGAAATGTGAAGCAAGTTCACGAGAGTGTATTATAAATGGTCTTTTTTTTCTCAAGAAACATAGGCTGAGAACAATTTTTAGCAGACTTACATAGTTAGATTTGTGCCAGCCCTGAGAATCAGCATGTTTTCTGACTTTGCTTCAGTGAATTTGGGAAATAGTAAATTGTGTGTGTAAGGTAAATGTGATTTATTCAACTGAAACAGTTAGAAAATAAGCTTTTGAGCCAATGTCATACCTGCACTGGGCTAAGAATCAAAAGGCTTAGTGTTACAGCCATGCTTTCTCATTAAGTAGCCATGTATCTCTTCGGTTCTTCATTTTTCTCATCTGTGATGTGGGGGTAATAGTTCTCGATTCACAGGCACAAAATAGGGATTAAATAACTCACTTGGAAAAGCTTCATGTATTTTACTATATTAATCTAAATAGTTTAGCTATCAATGAAAAACCATTTGTTCATCCATCCAACTTTCCTAAGCATCTATGTATGCTAGGAATTGTACTAAACCTCAGAAATACAGAGATGAATAAAATAAAGGATTTTTTCTCTTCAAGTAGTTCATAATCCAATGAGGGAGACAAACATTTCACTGTCACAATAGTGCATGGCAGAAACTGTAAAAGGGGAGAAGAAAGAATACCACACAATACAGAGGAGAGACACTTAACACAGTTTGAGGAAATTAAGGAAGTCTTCTCAGTTGACATGACCTCCCTGCTGAAGAATAAGGAGTAGAGGATTCAGCGAGGTAAAGAAGTGGAGCAATTACAATGCAGGGCTTTCTGGGCTCTCCCAGAAAACACATCATAAAGAATGATCTACAATAAGCACAAAAGATGTGTCATCCTTGAATTACTAGGCAGCCATAATCATCTTTAATCTAGTCCATCTTCTAGCTGAGGAGTCAAAAACCCACTGTGGATAAATAAGTAAAGGGAACCTTTTTAAGGATAAAGTCTTGTCTGCAAAGAGGAAGCAGTTCTTTCTTCCATTACTCAACCCCACACTGGTGTAACAATCAGGACACTTCTCTCCACTTCACTCTCCTTGAACAACCTACCACTTTCCCGCCTTCATAGAGAACTAGATCCAACATCCTGGGGCTGAGCAGTGGAAAAGATGAACACTTAGAATTAGAATTACAGTCTAAGGTAGACTATGACATCCATATAACCAATTAATTGAGCAACTTCCATACATCAGGAACTGTACTAAATGGTGTAAATACAGGTATTTCTAAAATTAATTTCCTATCTCTGAGGAGCCCACAGTCTAACTGGGTTAAAAGACATAGAAATAACCATAAATGGCATATGGTAAATGTCATGGAAATACAGAGTGCTAGGAGGGGCCTCTTAGGGGCCAGATTGCTCAGACCCAAAAGGGGCTATGTTCCTGCTGACCCAGAGTGGAGATGTACTTCTGAGGCTCTGAATCTTCAGATCAGAAAAGGTCTCTTCATGGTAGGCCTGTTCCATGTGACAAAAGCTAAACAATACCATATACTGCAATCACAGTAAATCCCACACTTAGCTTAAATCCATTTTGTAATCTTCCTTCATGTTCCACATTGTACAGTTTTTGTGTGCTCAGAAAAGTTTCCCATACTCCTCAGTCCTAAATTTTTGTCTTTCCTTTTTTCCAGCTCCCACCTGTGGGCAGAGTCTGGTGAAGGCACAGCCTTGGAGTTACTTTAACCTTCTCAGTTACATTGTTGGGGGAAGCCAAGTGGAAAAGGGCTCTTACCCCTGGCAGGTAATGCTCAGAACATTTTCTGGTGGTGGACTAGGAACTGCCTCAGGACTGGATCTCTCAGAAACACACGCTGCTCCTCGGCCCATTGCATTCTGCCTTGCTCATTGCCACAGAGCTCATGAGTGTGCTAGGATCCAAGTCTCTTATAATGTGCATCAGCAGAGTCCCAGGAAAGGTGTGCTCAGAACCAGGGAAGGTCCCATGCACTACTGGCTTGCTCCAACAACTGGAAATGCCAACCTAAACTTTCAGACTCTAAGACAAAAATCCCACCTCAAGAAGCTGAAAATTTCCTGAATTTTACAATTTTGAAAACAATTTTCTGATGAAATAAATATACTTAAAATATATTTATTTTGTGATAAAGATGACCCTGAAAGTCAAAGGTGTCATACCCAGAGGTCTACTTTATGTTTGGGGTGTACATTCTGTACCTACACCATAAGATCCCTCAGGGAAGAGTCGAGAGCCCTGCCTACTTAGTAGCTAATGTGCTAAAAATGTTGTCTTAATCTAATTCCTGGTTCTCCTGTGGCATAGAAAGGACTTAGTGTTTGTTTTTCAGAATATGCTGAGTAAGAAAATTTTGGGGGAAACCCAGGGCATTAACTTGCTCCCATTTAAGCTCTTTGTACTTTAGGTGTCTCTGAAACAAAGAGAGAAACATATCTGTGGTGGGACCATCATCTCTCAACAGTGGGTGATTACAGCTGCTCACTGCATTGCAAACAGGTAGGGGCGGTCTAGCTCATGGACGAATGTCTAATTACCCTTCTTCTCCCCTGAACTCAGCAGCAATAACTCTATTTAAACATAAAACTGTGTGATGTATGCTTGAATGGGAGAACATCTTAATTGCATAACACCATTAGGGCTCAGTGACCCTGTCAGGGGTAACCAACTTGGTAGATAGCATACATTCTTTGCTGAAGTAGAATGCTTTGTTTACTTAAATATGACTGGCAGTTATAAAGAGTTATGCCAGGTGAGAAAAAAAGTATCACAGTGGTATATTTGTGAAAGTTTCTTCTAGTTTTCTTAAATTTCAGTGAATAAAGTCATCCAGTTCATTATGCATCTTAAGAAATGGATGGAAGAAAGTAAAGGAAGGCCGGTAAAACATGAGGAAAGCTCCCATGTTTTCTTTCCTGTTGATCCCACTGCTCTGAACTTCAATCTAACAGCTGCCATCCGTTATCTGCTTTCTCGCCTGCTCCAAATTTTCCGTTGCTGTCACTGCTCTTGGTACTCACTAGGCTGCAATCAAGATCATGTCTCCTGTTTGCCCCCTTTCATTTCAAGTCTGTAAATGTCTCCTGTATATTTACTTGGTGCTGGACACTGGTTGGTACCAAAGATGCAAAGATGAGTAAAACACATTCTTGCACCCAGCAAGTTGACAGTCCTTAAAGAAGAGTCAACTAATAATTTCACTGCAATGTAGCAGGTGGTTAGGCTAGAGAGATGCTGTGTACTAGGTTAAGTACCTAATACAGCTAAGAGTCAGGGAAGTGTATCAAGAGAAAATTATGCCTTTCCAATTTTATATAAAATTATCACTTCTGGGAATGAAGGGTCTCAAATGACGGCAAGCGCAAAGCTCTCGATTCACCTCAAGGCAACCTACCAAGTTCCTTTCGGATAACCCTGCTGCAGGATGAAGGGGAATACAGTGGTTTTTTCCCCCATGTCATTCTGAGTCCCTAAATTACAAACATAAAGGAGGAAAGGAGGAGACCCCTCCTCCTATTGTCATAATCAGTCCCAAAACCCTGAGAGTTGCATACTCCCTGGCATATCAGAGTTGGGGTGCTAATATGTCTTTCATAAGATACATTAGGCTTTAGATCTCTGACATTAAGGCAGCATATGTAGTGTACTTTAATCAGTTAATTTAATAATCACAAATCATTACTGAATGATCTCATTGATATTCAGGCCAGGCCAACCACATAGGCAGCTGAATAAAGTCACTATAGCTCTGACTAGACCCCTGAATTACCCCTATATACATCTTTAGACATTTTACAAATAATATGGCAAAGTATCCAGTTTGTCTTGTCACCTGTTCCATTTGAGGCCACTCTTTACTAGTCCTCCACTCAAACTGGGAACTCTGCATTTTGTTGGTAGTGTAGGAATCATTCTTGCTTTCTTTGTTCAACTACCTCACACCCCACATCCATGTCATTTTGAAGAGGCCAGAGGCCGTTTTGGTGCTAGGCAGAGATACCACAACTCCTGTCAACCAGCACAACTGTCCTCAGAGGCTCAGTGAAATCCATCCACTTTACTGCTGCTTCTCCATAGAAATCCTGCATCGGTTCTGAATGTTACTGCTGGAGAACATGACTTGAGCCGCACAGAGCTGGGGGAACAAGTCTTCACCACGGAAACCATCATCATACACCCATATTTCTCCACCAAGAAGCCAATGACTATGATATCGCTCTTTTGAAGATGGCTGCCACCTTCCATTTCGGTAAACACTTGTGGCTCAGTCTGAATTGTCTATCCCCTGTTCTCCATTGCTTCTGTTCCCTAGCATGTTCCCGATAGTGCATTCTATAGCATATGCCCAACAGTTCTGGGTCATAGCCTTCAAGACAGGGATTTTCGGTGGAGCGTCCCTTACCTGAGACCATTTTGCTTGTGGTGTCAGATATAAGATTGTGTGGAATCAGAAGAGGATTTTCCTTTATCTGACAAGTGTCCCCTGGAGGTGCTAGGCAGAGGTGTCACAACTCTTACAAGGTCTTTGGGGAGCCCCCTGAATGCTCATTGGTGAGTGGTTTATAGTGCCTTCTCCTCCATTGGTGAGACAAGCCCTGCTTGGCTGTTTCCTCCAGGCCAGTCTGTGGGGCCCATATGTCTTCCAGAGCCTGGGGAACAATTTGAAGCTGGGTTCATTTGTACAACTGCAGGCTGGGGCCGCTTGGCTGAAGGTGAGGACTTTTATGCTCCTCTTAATCAGATGTTGAACTTTCTGGTGGGTAGTCAGAAAACAGAATTTTTAATCTAATGTTTAAAACAATTGTGTAAACATTAAAAAAAAATAGAGAATATCACATTGTACTTAGAAATTCAGGTCTTTCCAAAAGACACAGCCCAGAAAGGGTGAAAGGTGCCCTGCTGGGGCTGTCCTCTCTGTTTCCCAGACGGCATGCTCCCACAAGTCCTACAGCAAGTGAACCTACCCATTTTGACCCAAGAGGAATGTCTGGCAGTTCTGTTAACGCTGAAGAAGCCCATCAGTGGGCAGACCTTTCTCTGCACAGGCTTCCCCGATGGAGGGAGAGACACCTGTCACGTAGGTGGGCCTGGCGGGGTGGACTGTGCCAGGCAGGGCTTCCCTCAGCTTTGTCTTCGCACGAGGGGCTGAAAGAAGGCCGTAAGACAAGGCAGGACTCGAGAGAAGGGGCAAGTGACAGGAGAGATCAAGCCAAAATAAAGGGATTGTTGACACAACCTGTTTTTACTAGGGAGTATGAATTCAGAGGAGGTCTTCTGAAATACCAAAATTTTTCAAAAGACCAAATAACACAGGAAATGCTAAGAATGAGCCCAGAGTTCTCCATCCCTGAAGAATGACTGGCTCTTTCCCACGGAGAGGTTTCCAGTTTGTGGATAATGGGACTTTATTTGCCCTCTATTCTTCTGCTGACCAAGACACCAGAGGTCAGTTTTACTACCGGGCAGGACTTCTCCAGGTCTGTAGGATGGGGCAGGAGGAGGAAGAAAGTCTGATATTTAATGGGAGCCCAGGAAGGGGAAGAAGGAGGTGAACTGATAGGCTCCAGGGATATTTGAGAGTGGACTGTGCTTGGCTGTTCTCCCAGGGCTCCCGTGTCCAACTTTATTAGAAGTGCAGAAATGTCATTGGCCCCCATTTTGCATCTTTGTGGGGGAAAAGAGGGAGCACTTTGGGGGCACAGATGCTGCCAGTGCTGGTAACAGAGGTTTTTTCCTCCTGCAGGGAGATTCGGGAGGTTCTCTCATGTGCCGGAATAAGAAAGGGGCTTGGACTCTGGCCGGTGTGACCTCCTGGGGTTTGGGCTGTGGTAGAGGCTGGAGAAACAATGTGCAGAAAGATGATCAAGGATCCCCTGGGATATTCTCAAATCTTAGTAAAATGCTTCCTTGGATCCACGAACATATCCAAACTGGTAATGAAGCCAGCACGTAAGGTTGAGGAACAGGGGCAGAGAGCATGAGCGGCATCTAGGCAGGTCAGGACCACTGGGCAGGCAGGCCCTGCTTCTGCTCTTACCATAGCAAATAAGGATTGTGATACTTAATCTAAAGCAAGAGTCAAATATGGGGTGTGGTACAGCATACACATATTCAATGAAACCTGGATTCATCCATCCTAGACTTTGTTAAATTTGCCTGCAGTTGAAACCATCTCAGCTGGCGGTATGTTCTCACACTTACTTCTCACCTGTGCTGGTAAGATTCAGCAGGCTACAGCATGGGTGGTAGTATCAATCAGGGAAAATTTTGCTCCTCCGCAGACAATGTCTGGAGAAATTCTTGGTTGTCACAACTGGGGGAGAGAGGTGCCACTGGCATCTAGTGGGTAGGGGCCAAGGGTACTTCTAAGCACCCTGCAGTGCATAGAACAGCCCCTGACACTAAGAATGATCCAGTCCAAAATGTCTGTGATGCTGTGGTGGAGGAGGCCTGGCACAGATCCAGGTGCCCCAAGTCTCAAAGGGCCAGAGTCTACATATTCTCTTCTACTAGACTGACCAGCGAGTTCACTGAAACTTCCTTTCTGCCTCCAATCCGATTTAATGGTTTCTTAACTGGTGGCTTCCAGCTCAATGGGGTTTCTATTCTTTGCCAAAGAAGTTAATTCAAATGAGCTCAGTAAGAGCTCGGATTTGTTCTCAAGAGTATGGTCCGGTGCCAGGTATCCTAGCCCTCAGTTCAGGTCAGAGCTATCCCAGCAACTCTCTTGTGGTTGGAAGCAAGTTATTTCCAACTCCAGTCTCCCTTTTCTCACAAAAAATGGCAGGGGTAGGCTAGACGACCTCTTCTTGCTTTGTGTAACCTCCAAGCTAATTATGTCCAGTTTCTTAATCAGTCCACTTAATAAAGAGAGTGATACAGCCTTGAAACACCGAGGACGCTTTCTTGCTTTGCCAAGGCATCCCTTTACTTCTTTCCACAGATTATATTTTCATCAGCTGCATATTACTTAAAAATCTCTGCACTTTTGAACCAGCGAGATGCTAACTTCTTGAAATACTGTTTACGAACCTTGAATCCCACAAATATCTTTCTTTTTCTTTCTCAGAGAAGCAAAGGAACAGCTCCAGAGGTAGGTGTCTCTCACAGCCTGCTCTGCCAGGGGCAAGAAATAATATCTAGCATTTCTAAATATCAGTTCCCTTTCTCAGCAAGTGTACCCCTGCGAGAGCTCTCCTCACCCATGACGTATATACCCACCACTTGGGACAGCCACTGTCATTCCCTGTCAGTCAGGGCCTCCCGCGCACCCAGAGCCCCAGGTGCAGTCCCACCTCACTTCTTGTCAATCCAGAGCTGCCTCTCAATTCAGCAAACATTGGCCAAACTCTAGCTTTGAATTCAAGGCTCCCTGGGGGAAGGTGAGGCAGCAGATCCTGACCACGTCCTTCCTTACCCAGGGGACTTACCCCAGCGCTACACTGCAAATCTGCGGTGAGCTCACTGTGTGTGTTTAGGCAAAGTCCCTCCTAGCTCCGGAACTCAGTTTCCTTCTTCCATAAAGAAAAGAGTTTGAATTAGATGGCCGCTAAAGTGTCTTTAACTCAAATCTCTGGTGGTTCCGTGTATCTACGGAACAGTCGCAAAGAGCAGTGTGGAGACGGAGCACCCTGAGAACGCAGAGGAGTGAGCGGCTGCTTCTAGCTGGGGTGGGAGGGGGGAGCAAAGGGAGCACAGACATCTTTTAAGCTGAACCCTAAAGACCAAGGATGAGTAGGATTTTGTCAGGTGAAAATGAGATACAAGTGAAGAAACAGAGCCAAGCTCAAGGAATTATCCTTCTCAAAGAATGGCTACTAAAGGCTGGAGAGGAAAAATGTAGGGTTAACAGGGACCAGTAAGTCAGTCAAGCAACTCAAGTGTAGGATGTGTGATGGGGCTTTATGAGGGATACTAGTGAAGGGCCCCCACCCATAAGATGGCGAACTTCCTGCTTCTCTTCCGGGTCCTCAGTTCCTGCTGGCGCCACCTGAAGCCCAATCACCCCTCGCCCCCCTAATCCCAGCACCTAGCCAATAGCCACCAGCCCCGTAGAAGTGACACCTCAATCAGCTCATGCCCCTTCCTATATAACCCAGCACCTTTCTCTAATAAAGTGGAATTCTCCGGTGAATTGCTGCTGTGTGTCGCTCCTTTCCTTTCAACTAGAAAGAATTTGAGCTGGAAACTTTGAGTGCCAATCAGAAAAGGTGATTTATCAGGTAAGTAGATTAGAGTTATATTTCAGTGGTATAAAGATAGCACACAGGAGATAAATTGGAGGGGAGAATACTCCAAGGCAGATTTATGAGATTGTGCATTAATTCTAGAGACAAGAAATGAAGGCCCGATCTAGGGCAATAGCCAGAGAATGATAAGGAGGGATTAGAATCAAGAAGGCTTAGAGCATGGCAGCCACGGAGATGAAGCTGGTGAGGGAGAGGGAGGAGGCCAGGGTGGAGCCAAGGCTTAGGGCCAGAGAGGCCGAGAAAGGGGCGTATCAGAGGGATCGAACCAGAAGCAGATTGACAAATTAGGTACAAAGTCGAGAAATGCAGCAATAATCGTGCACCCGAAGGGTGTGACTGGGACTGGTACAGAACACGGTTATGGGATCAGAGACAGAAGAATGAAGGAGAAGAAATCATAGAGTCTTGAGGTTAAGTAGGATCTAAAAGGAACAGAAAAGAATAAGGCGTCACAGCACCCAAGGCAGAGAAAGATTTTGTGAAGAAAGGAAGGGCGCATGAAGGAGAACCAGGCGGTCCCAGTGTCTGTACAGGTGCTGGAAGGAGTGGCTGCTGCGGCTCGCCACCCCTGATCCCTGGGCTGTCCCCCCCAGCCTCATGCAGTGAGCAGGATGGTGGAATTGGCGGGACTGAGGGGGAGCTGTGCTTCCCAGAAAGCCCCTACGCCTCTTATAAGAGCCAGCAGTGAGTAGCCCCTCTGCCACCAAACCTGACTCCCAGCTCCAGGCTGACTGCACAGAGGTAACATCCTCTCGATGCATCTGCCTGCAGACTGTGTGTCTGGACCCTGCTGGTGCCAGAGAAAATGCACCTGTTACTCAGCCTTTCCCACTTGGAAGCAGAGTCCTTTCACCACAGTTACCTGGCGATGTACTCTTCAGAAGACAGGCTCATTGGTGAATGGCTGTGCACACTGACAAACAACATCAGCGCCAGGAGGGCTTCCGGGGGCTGGTTACATGGTGTCTGGCACAGGAGCATCTGTTAACACTACACTTCCTGTCTCCAATTTTGAGACTCAGGGGACTCTCCCCAGCACCCTAGAAAGGAATTAAATCGGAGCCTGTGTGATGGCTGTAAAGCCACAGCGCATTCCATTTGCTGCCTCTGCTTCTCATGGAACCAGGTTTCCTAGACTCATTTGCCAGCCCTAGAGCCCTTCAGGAATACAATCTAGACATACCGCAGAATCCTGCTTTCCTAGGCAGGAAGAGGAGCTTGACTTGCCTCATCCTGCTGAGAAGGATATACCAATGGATAGCCTTGTGTGGGAGACAAAGGCTAACTACATAAGAAACAAGTGGAGTAGCCTTTCTGTGGTTCTTAACAGGAGGTGATTTTGCCCCCCTGGGGACATCTGACAATTTCTTAGAAGCATTTTTGGTTGCCATAATGGGGGAGTGTTACCAGCATCTAGTGGATTGAGGCCGGGGATGCTGCAAAGCACCCTACAATATGCAGGACTGCCTGAACACACAGAACATTCCAGGTCACAGTGTCGGCAGTGCCACGGTCTAGGAAAGCCTGGTGTAGACAATTCTGCCCTATATCGTGACAAGTTCAGTTCTCCTGATGTCTTGAAAAGGGTGCTGTTTTCTAGGCATCGAATAAAGAATCTCTGTTCCGTTGCAGGGAAGTTCTGTGGAGAAAGCGTCACTTCATCAGTTCTTATCAGCTCCAGCTCTGTCAGGCTGCAGTTTGTCTCTGATGCCACAGATTATGCAGCCGGGTTTAATATTACCTACAAAGCTCTTAAACCAAACTACCTTCCTGGTAAAAACCTTATTTTTGTCACACACTTTCCAGGCCGTTTGGAAGTTGAGGCCTAATAGGAATTAGGTGAGGGGCTGGGAGCTCCCTCCCAGCGCCTGCGTGCTCCAGCGGGGAGAGGGGCGCAAGGCCAGTGAGGCGCGGGGTGTGGGCGTTCCTTCTTCCATCCCGCTAACTCAGTGGTTATTATGCACCCAAGAGCGTGGAGGGGCCTCGGGAGGCCTGGAAAATCAGGGCGTGAACCACTTCCTTCTTGTTGGCTCTGCTTAAGGATTCCGCACATGGCCATTTGGTGGAGACGGGGCAGAGCAGAGCGGATTCCTCCTCGTGTGGGTGATGCCACTGTTTGGCCCTTTCCCCTCATGTTTCAGATGCAGGCTGCAGGTCATTAACTGTCCTTTTTGAAGAAGGCCTCATACAGAGTCTGCACTATCCTGAAAACTACAGCGACCTGGCTGCCTGCAGCTGGGTTTTTCAAGCCCCCAGACGTTACCTGATTAAGGTATTGACTCTGCTTACCCTTACTTTGCTACGGTAACTCCACAGAATAGCTGACATAAACACCATGAGGCAGAGGTTTTGATATGATTTATTCATTGCTGTATCCCCGGTACCTGGCACATCAGACTCTTGATAAAATACTTGAATAGACCAGCGGAAGTCTACTTTCCCCGTAACAACCCACACTTACCACTAGATGGCAGTTGCACACTTCACTTTTCATTGAAGTGCCGCCTTAATCTTTGTATCTGGTAACTTGTTTCATCAGTCTCCAGTTCCTTCTAGAAACAAGAGATCCTACCTCGTTAATTAAACACTTTGTTAGTAGTGGCTAGCAAAAGTCAAAGACAATAAGACCCAAATCATCAGGTCTTCCATGGAGGGGACAGAGCAAGCACGGAGAAACCAGTGTAGTCATAGGTGTACTGGAAAGGCAGGTAGAAGGCACCGTGGAGGTCAAAGTATGGAGCGCTTTGAATGTCAGGATGCAGTTAGTTCAGCTTTTGATTAATAGTGTTTGTGGCCATTTGTGTGTTTGCTTGCTCATTAAACACTACTGGGCCATCTGCAGAGATGTTACTACACAGTGGAAAGTAAGGCTCCAGTCAGAGTGAGGTTGGAACTACGAATTTATTTAAAAGTTTTTTTCTTAAAATAATAATTGAAAACAAGAAAGTAGATGGAGGAGAGAAAGCATAGTGGAAAACAAAGGGAGAGGAACAATATATATTTATATATACATTTAAGAGGCAAAAAGAGATTTGAGACCCAGCAGGAGAGTCAAATTGGTGTGTTACAACAGTCCAGAGAATGGAGCTTTCATTTAAAACACAAAACAAGCACACAAAAAGATGTGCCTATAGTTTGAATATACCGCATGAAATGAGAGCTTACAGAGAAGGAAGACCAAGCATGTCCCCAATAAAAAAGTGGAATGACTGGGTTGACAGTTGAGCAATGAGAGAGAAGGTGGCAGTGGTGGTGTTTGAAGTATCAAGTTAGGTCAGACATTCGAAGCAGAAACAAGATCATAAGGGTTTCACCGATGAATGGGAAAGGAAGACAGAGAAGATGTAAGCACAGATCTTCTCTTTGTAAGTTTCTGAAATCCAATTAAGAGTCAAGGCAGGAATTTCAGGAGGGAGCAGAATTAAGGTGGATTTGGTATTAGGGATGGAGGATAAAATTTAAGGATGCGCACATTTCGGGAAGGAGGGAAAACGACAAAATTTAGTTGAACACCTGAATGTGCCAGAGCTAGAAGTGATACAAACCATCTCCTCAATGTGTGCCAAGTGCTGTGCATCCGTGAGGTGATGTCCTCACACCCTGCCAGTGTCAGCATCATTTTGCAGGACACCTCTGAGATAGGAATTTGGAAATTAGTATTACAAGTCATAACTGTACATACCATTTGACTCAGAGAGAAAAAGGTCTGTTTTCAGAAAGTATCCTAGTATAATAAGCGTTTAAGAAATGCTTGAATGAATCCTGTTTCTGAATGTTTCTTTCTCCCCATGCTTAGGTTCTGCATTAATGATCATTTGCCTTCACTTCTGTCCTATCCATGGAGTCCTCTGTGTCTTTTGCCAAGTGCTCATGCTCCACCCCTGGGTTTAAAGCCTACACCCCTGCCTCATCAGCCTGGTCTCCCACTGCTTCTCTCTTCAAACACAGTGGGCCAGTGCTGTCAACTCACTCAGACTGTTCTTTGCTCCTCCTGGGGTGGGGGTGAGGGGGCTCTAGGGAGCTCAAATATTTGCACGTTTTCCACCATTACATTCAGCCTGTATTTGGTAGCTTTGATGTCTCAGAAGGTTTGGGAGCCTGTCCTGTAGCATCTTTTCCTAAGTAATTTAACCCACTCCTGAATGTGCCTTTAACTTTCTCATCTAAGGGCAAGTTGGGAAAGTTGAACAGCCAAATTTCTCTGCTTAATCAAAGATCAGGTAATTTGTTATTTACCCTGGATCTAATGTGGAGCCTTTTCAGCTTTCCTTTCAGAATCTGGAAATAGAAGAAAGTGGAGACTGCACTTCTGACTATGTGACAGTGCACAGGGATGTGGAAAGAAAGAAGGAAGTAGGTGTGTGTTACCCTGGAGCCTCAGTTTCCCTGGTTTGCATTTGGATCTGGTCCTCTGGGGGAATCCTTTTTGGGAATAAAAAGGATCTGGCTCCAGTTTTCCTCATTGCCCTGCACCACCTCCATTCCTCCCTATGCTCTCACCACCCACTGCTCCTACATCAGGGGCAGGAAGAGTAAGAGGGGGAATCCAAGAACCCTTTGAACAGAAAACGTGGGAGGCCTACTGTGAAGTAGTGGTGAGAAGGGAAAAGTGCCATTGAAATAAGCCCTGTGGCCAGCACCAATTCCTAGTGGGAATGTTTGGGAAATAAACAGAATCAAAATGGTGATGGGGTGAAGCGCATAATTAAAGGAAGGAAACTGCCTTTGTATTTTGAAAATGAATCTGACATCCACCAGAAAAGCTTATTTTTCAACAGTTACTTAAAAACAACTTTTTCCTTCTATCCATGCCACATCTGTTCACTGGGCACCTGACTGTGTCTTGTGGGACTGGGCTTGCACCAGCTCGGCTGTGTGGCTTTGCTGCCCCTGTGCCTGTGCTGAGCTCCTCTGGTGTGATGTTCATCAGCTTCCAGTCGGACGAAAATGTGACCTTCAGAGGCTTTCAGGCTTCAGTCTCCTTTATTCCTGAGACAGGTAAGAAGATAGAGGCACCAAGTCCTCGGGTCCCAATTCTCATCCTCATAACATGGTAATAAAGGGCAGCCTGTAAGCCCACAAAGTTGCTTCTCATTATTTGATGTCACTGTTCTAGAGAGTTGTCCACAAACACTCAGTGAATGCTGAGCCACTACTCCCAGGGCAAATACAGGGTTGGGTCCTCGGAGCCTCTGGTTTTATGTGTGTCTCTGTTTAATGTCACATTGTTTAATATGTATTGTTGATTCATAACATTAAACTCACAGTCAGTACCACTGTAACTCCTGCCTGAACAAAGCTTCCCTTATCACACATATTTTCTCCGAAAGTCACAACACAGCCTCCTTGCACTTAGTTACACTAGATGGCACTTCAGTGGTTTAGGAAAATCACCAACCAAAAAGCATAACACCAAAAAAAAGAGAGGCACAAAACAGACCACGGAAGACAAAAGAGCAGTGTGCCTCATTAGGCTGTAGCCAGGAACACGTGCATCAGGAGACTCAAAATTTTCATGAAAAGCACCATGAGGATTGGTTTTGAGTTACAAATAAATGTCAGTGTGTAGGTGAATTCAAAAATATGGAATCCACAAAGAATGAGGATCAGCTCTATGTCTGCATCTTGGCCTGCCCTTACTAGATGTGAGATCTAAGAGTCGTCTAAGACTCATTTTCTTCGCCCTTACAATGGGAGGTTAATTCACGCCTTGTAAGAATGGAGTGAGGATTAAATGGGTATGATACGCTTGGTCACAAGTGAGTATGTGACTCATAACAGAAGCTCAGAAATGTGAAATATCTTCACCAATCCCCAGTTCCTAGACACTTGAACTGCACAGCTTCCTTTCAAGCCCTGACACTCACTCACCACCCTCCGTCCAAATCCCATAAAGCTTGTTAGGGGTTTTTCAGATTGTTCATTCTTGTTAGGTGGAAAGCAGCTGCTTCTAGCAAAGACAGGTTATATAGTTAAAGTACTTCACTTTTCAGTTAAAACATCCATAGCCCAGCTGACTGAGATACCCCAGAATCCTAATAATAATAATTTCTGGTAAGACCAAAACACTGGCCTTGTGTGGTCTGAACAACTGTATTGTGCTGACACCCAGATGTAAACATCTCCGGATCAGAGGATGAGCCTATGTTTCTGGAGACATGGAGCACCACCTGAAGAACCCAGGGCTTCTGGTAAGCTGTTTGGGGGAATGTGACCAAGAGGTATACACAGGTGTATCAGCCAGGGTTCAAACAAAGCACCCCAAAAAGGCAGGTCAGAGTCCTAACCACTAGTACCCCAGAATGTGTACTTATTTGGAGATAGTGTCTTCACAGAGTTAAAAATCAAGTTAAAATTAGGTCATTATTGTGGGTCCTGATCCAATATGGCTGGTGCCCTATAAAAGGGGAAATTTGGATGCAGAGAGAGACACACATACAGAAGAACGTCTTATGAACGTGAAAGCGGAGATAGGGGTAATGCATCATCTATAAGCCAAGGAATGCCAAAGATGGCCAGCACACCGCCAGAAGGGGAGAGGCATGGAGCAGATGCCCCTCACTACCCTGAGAAAGAATCAACCCTACCAACACCTTCATCTTAGACTTCTAGCCTCCAGCACTGTGACACAATAAAGATATGTTCTTCTAAGCCACACAGTCAATGATATATCTTTTGTTACAGCAGGCCGAACAAGCTAACTTACAGGAATTGGCTTGTGTGATCATGGGGACTAAGCAAGTAAACCCCCAGGGCAGGCAATCAGAGAGCGGAAAGATAACGGGACCCTGGAATTCCACAGCCAGGGGCTGAAGCTACTCCCCATAGAGAGACTTTCTTCCTTCTCTGGGGGAAGGAAGCCTCAGCTCTGCTTGAAGGTCTTTTCAACTAATTAAGTCAGGCCCACGCAGCTCACCCAGGATGAGCTTCCTTACCTGAAGTCATCTGATTGGGAACCTTTATTACCTCTGCAAAATCCTTTCACACTAACAGCTAGATTAATGTTCAATTGAATAGCTGGGGGCTGGAGCCTAGACAAGTCAACACATTAAAAAGCCACCCACCAGGACTGTATGGGCCATGGTCACTGTCCCTTTTGCTCAAAGCAACACTGAAGTATTTCCAGTCATAAAATCAAAATCCCCATCTCATGTGATTCATTTGGTGGGAATGGCTAAATAGTGTGCCAGGAGTGGTCTGACTCACAAGGTCCAGCCACTGACAAAGTGAGTATGCCACTGTGTTTTAATGTCAATGAGCACTGGGAGGTACTGGCATTTCCCTCTTCCTTGTTTCCCCTGTGACATCCATGGCACACATGTGCCATGTGGCACCTGCACCATGTGGAAAATGTGAGGGGAGCAGGCAGAGGGTGGAGGTAGGGAAACTTCTATAGTTAGCCATTTTGATTGTCAAGAGAAAAATTAAGCACATTATTTTTAATTAAAAAGTATTTTTTTAGTTTTACTGGTTATCTGACCCATAGAATGCAGAATATTCCTATTAATGAGAAGGGATGGAAACAGTCTGAGTCTTTCTGTTCTATCTGCAGTGGCCCCTTCCATTGGCCACCATGGTGGTACATTCAGCAAAGCTATTTTTCTCTCCCTAAACCAAGTACAATATTTTCTAAGGAGTCTCATTACAGCACTTGGCAAGATTTATTCATCATTTTATGCCAGGACCCACCACAGTGCCCAAAACACAGTAGGTGCCAATTAGATATTTGGTAAATAAAATAAAATAATCCATGAATAACTTTTTATATAAAACCTCAATAAGAGAGACCTTCCTGTCTTCTCTCTCTGAACTCACATCTATTTTAAGGATTTCTTCGTTTTATACAAATACATGTAAAAACTTAAAAAGGACAAGAAAGTTTAACATGTGTCCTGTCTTAAATATCACACCTACCCTGGGTTACTTAAGTCATTCAATAAACAATTTTGTCCTTTACTCTTTGAAGGGCCCCCACCAGTAAGATGGTGAACTTCCTGCTTCTCTTCCGGGTCCTCAGTTCCCGATGGTGCCACCTGAAGCCCAATCACCTCTCGCCCCCCTCCCAATCCCAGCACCTTGCCAATAGCCACCAGCCCCATAGAAGTAACACCACAATCACCCCATGCCCCTTCCTATATAACCCAGCACCTTTCCCTAATCGGAATTCTCCGGTGAATTGCTGCTGTGTGTCGCTCCTTTCCTTTCACTCTTTATTTTGAAATTTTACGAATCTATAAAACAGGTGAAAATAATATACCATTAAGACCTGTTGATCCTTCACTTACATTAATCAGTTGTTGGTAGCCTTCATCTTGGCTTAATACCCATTTGATGTCTTCTCTGTAGGAATCTCGATAACAGAGCCCAGGGTGTGGGGAGGAGGGATCAAAGAGGAACAGAATATAGTACCTATCTTCCAGGAATGCATATCCTAATGATTAACATTATGTGTATGAATTAGGTATATAAATAAAGAGTAGATACTCTATGATTTCATTTACATAAAACTAAGATAATTCAAAACTAATACATGGTGTTAGATGTCAAGACAGTACCCTTGGGGGAAGTAGTGGCTGGAATGGCTTCTGGTGGGTCTTCTGGGATTCTGCAAATCTGTTTCTTGATCTGGGTTCTGGTTATACTTTTTGAAAATACATTCAAGCTACTTTATTACTTGAGTATTTTTCTATGTGTATGTTATACTTCAATAAAATTCACAACAAAAGAAAAAAGTGTATTGAAAACCATAATACAAAAAAATGTTGAAATAACTTCTGGATGAGGTGATTAGGAAGCTTGTGTTTGATCTGGGCCCACAGGATAAGTAGGGTGTCACCATTATTCTCTACACTTTGGGGAATCCTTGGAGGCTTTTGGTTAGGGGAGTAACATAATCAAAGCAGCACTTTTTGGTAGTAAATTTGGGAGTGTGAGGATGGAGAAAGAGTCAATGCAGGAAGCATAGTCCAGGTGAATAGTATTGAGACAGGGACCATGGATGTAGTCAGAGTAAGGTGAGGGCCTCTGCAGGTGAGGGCCTCTGCAGGGTGGGATATTTGCAGGGAAACCCCCCTGCTAAAACTCTGTGTTTAACATTGAGCTCTAAAATCATTCTTCAGTGAAATCAGTTAATGTTCCCCAGATAAAGAAGAGTAGCACACATTTTATTATGCTCAACTTTTGTAACCATGTGGAAGATTCACTTTAGCATGCTAAAAGACCCAGGCCTATGTGCTGTCTTTCCTCCTTCGGATCTGACGAGGTGATTCTGCAAACTGAGCAACTAACTTAGCGTGCAGACCCAGCTGTAGACGACATAGTAAAGGGCAGGAAGAATTCCATCTTGAAGATAAGATTGTATTTTAACACCCAGGAAGCTCAAGAGGCAAGATTCTTTAGCAAGTAGACAATACCTCAGCCCACCTTGGGGGCTGGGCAGGCAGCCTTTTGATATGCTCCCAGACCAAGATGCTGGTATCCCAAGGAGAAATCAGAGGAAGTTGCTTGTGTTAAGTTAATTATAAATATTCAGAGACCACTTAACAAGTCCACACCCCTAAGCTTTTTTCACGTTCCCAAATATCCTCAACTGCCTATAAAACCTCTAGACAATGCACCACCAAGGACTCTCTTGTCCCCTCCTGGCATGAGCAGGGAGCTCTGTCCTTTCACTGTATCTCTAAATAAAAGCCTGTACCTTGTTCTCCTACCTTGACTGTTTGTGAAGCTCACAAACAGTTTCTTTGGCTCTGTAAACAAGAACCCTGGCATCAGTATTAAGGACTGAGCCCCGAAGTAGAAGGTAGAGGCAAGGCATGTTGTGATATAGGATCTAAAGTGTTTGGAGACAGGATAGGTGGAGAAAAAAGAGGGGGAAGGCAAGAATGAGCTTGATATTTTACTCTTGGGTGAAACACCCACTTCTAGTAGCATATATAATATTTATGTCTCTAGAATACAATAAGCATTTTTCATTATTCCCAGGTGTCTGGCATCAAGGAGAGGCTCAGAGATTATAATTTGGGCTTGATGGTAAGAACCATCCATGGGTAATAAAGATGGGTTTTCTTGCTCCTTCCCAGGTGGCCTCCGTGAAGTCACTTCCCCTCCACCCTTCCAGGTTTCTTTGCAGCCAGATCTTAGGAGGCAAGGAGGCCCCAGCCAGCTCATGGCCATGGCAGGTCAGTTTGCAGATTGCCACCAGGCAGTTCTGTGAGGGAGCCCTAACTGGGAAGGCCTGGGTAGTTGCTGCTGCTCACGGAGTTGCTGATAGAGAATGGAACGGCTGCAGCTGATGGTTTCAACTGAGTGACCACTGGTTCTTCAGCTACTGCTGCTGCTGCCATCAGGCACTCCTTCCCCACTCACCGCCATCACGGGCAGCTGGCTTCCCCAGGAGGGCTCAGGACAGTTCTGCCTCCATTGTGCTTCAGGTTTATTTTAATTGAACATGAATGAGGCTGGTTTCGGGATAAAAATATATTTATTTTATGATATCTTCCTTCCTGGAATTTTTTTATTCAGAAATTAATGCATTTTGTGAAAAAAGTTTTTAGTATCTATTGAAATGAGTAAATGATTTTCTCATTTGATTTATTAACATTTTAGATTCATATTAATAGATTTTCTAATACTCCTACATTCCTGAAATGAATCGCCCTTGGGCATGGCATGTTCATCTTTCAGTGTATGCTGGGTTCTCTTTACCTAGACCCCACTTAGATTTCTGTGTGAACATTCACCACGGACATTGACCTGTAACAGATGTTCTCACACTGTGAACTGGAGACCACTAGGGATCTCCATGATCCTTTTAGGAGGTCTTCAAGGTCAAAACTATTTTCATAGTAATACCAAGACATGATTCTCCCTTTTCACTCTCATTCTCTCACAACTGTGCAGTGTTTTCCAGAGACTGCATAGCATTTGGTATGTCAACAGGTTGAATGTAACAAACAGCTAGAAAACCCCACCTACCTTCTCTTTAGCTAGACATTTAACAGTCTTGAAAAAAATGCAAAACCATGTCAGTCTTATTTCAATTATTTTGTTTTGGAAAATGTAGGTATTTGAATGCACATGTTACTATGTTAACACCTAATGGTTTTATTATGGCTATCTTAATAAAACCATACTT